GGTGTCGACTCATATGGTCTCCTATCAATATGTTATCAACAGACAAGTCTATTCACTATTGTTTCAATTGAGTAAACAGTGGTGTAAGGGTCAGCCGTGCTCCCAGGTAATTGTTAGTGTGCAGACAGTCCTGTCAAGCATGTTGGCTAAAAATACATCCCACACTGTCACTTCGCAAGGTGTTTGAAAATAATAGCCCGACACAGCAAAACAGGACACAGGCTTGTGTACTGACCTTTTTCTTTGTTTAATTTGCTCAGAGGTTTAATTTCAAGGGACAAGTAATAATTGAATATGTCTAATAACTAAATGCTCATTTGGGACAAAATCCATCAGAATGTAATTGGCATTTGGGTCTGATGAAAGGCAAATGACGTGGCTTTAGAGAAACGGATGTGTCCGAAGAAGATCTGATCACTTAATGTATAAATTGAAGCCTTTTTCATAATATATATTAATTGCAGATACTTAAGGATTTTAGCATTTTTTTGTAGTGAACCGTTACTGGAGACCAACTGTTTTTGTTAATGCTACTCTCGGAAAGGCGGGGAAGGTTATTGGTCTGTCGTGCAATAATTTACTCCTCTTTGATATGCAAACGATCCACGGTGAATATAAAAAAATCCTATCAGACTCATTTCACAGTTCTTAACCACTTAGATTCTCTGGAGTCTATCGCCTCATTAGACCAGTGCTCTCCAAAGCTAGCATAATTAAAATCTTTAACAGTTTAGCAAAGTAAAGATGTTTGGCTGATCACGTTGAGATGATTATCTATCCATTGTATTCTAAATGACAAAAATAAATTAAATTTAGACCTTGGCATTTTTTATTATGTGTTTCAAATGAATATAATGCATACTGCCTTTCTTTTTTTTTTTTTCATTTCAATACCTTAGGTTTGGTGAGATACATGCCTGTGTGAGCTGCTGCTATACACTCAGAAAATGGCAGGTTTCCTTAGGATAGCTCCAGTGCTACAATATGGTGAAACAATGAACAGTCATCCCAGTGATGATCTGGGAGCACAGTGATGAGAAACCTCTTTAAAAACACAGACACTGGCTTTTGTTAATTTTTTTTTACCCTGAATATTTAAGTGATGCGTCTGTACTGCTAATTTTTTCCCATGGCCTTCTCTGAAAGAGCACTGAGCTAGTCTTCAGTGAGAGCAACTTGACTTGTTTGATCATGTCACAAACATAAGCTTTATCCAAAAGCATGATCTCAGTGTGAGCCTGTGTCATGCTGACGCGTGCAGCTCCCCTTCCAGCCTGGAAGTTTGCAAAGTTTTTGCTTGTATTACTTATTGAATGCCGTGTCCTAAACCTGGTGTCCATTTTGACACCATTAAAAATATACATATTTTTTATTATTATTATTTCTTGAAGCTTATTTTATGTTTTCATTTTACTTTTGAATGGCTCATTAGCATTGATCTAAGAAATGACAGTAATAATAGTGTTACTTGTATAGAAAGTTATACACTTTTTCAGTAGACACATCCATCAATTAAGTGAGCAGTTCAAGAAACCAAAATTAATGAGAAAGATAGGTGTGTTAATGAAATAATCATAGTATAATCAATTTGACTGTTAAAATTTGAAAAGCATTTCAGGAAGACAATATGAATTCATAATTTATGTCTAAAAATGATTAATAAAAACTGTATTTAATAACAAAGCTATTTGTCATACTTTAAAACTTAAGCACAAAATTAGTCATATTGTGGTTCCTGTTGTCATAATAATAAAGCTGAGTATTTTCTTTTTCCCTGAGACCTTCTTTTCTTTTAAAAAGAGGTTAGAAAGTATTCACTTTCCTGAAAGAAAAAAATAATAATAAGAAAGGAAATAAAATAAAATACTAAATTTCTCCAGCTGACTGCAGAGTAGCCTTTTGCCACCTTTGCTATTGGCCTTGCTGTGAGCTCAGGGGAATTCTGCCTGAGTTGGGACTCTGGAAATGGTGCTTCAGGTGTAAAAATCACAAAAAAGGGTAATAATTAATACAGTGTATGTATGTGGTGTCGTGTTGTGTGGATCCCCTTACCCACAGCCCAGATCTTGCGTTACACAGGTATCGCAGGTGGCGCATGAGAAGATGTAGCAGAGTCGCGCTGTGTTTAATATTAGCCTTTAGTTATTAAAGAAAATACACGTGCAAAAACACACACACACAAACCTAACACTAGGCTTTGTTTACTGACTCTCTGATTTAATTACTGTTTGAAGACGGCCGAATTAGCTGTTAATTGATTTAATTATCCAATTTGTTTGTTTCAGGCATGATTCCAACAGAACTGCAGCAGCTCTGGAAGGAAGTGACAAGCTCGCACACAGCGGAGGAGGCAGCCAGCAACAACCACAGCAGCCTGGACCTGTCCACCACCTGTGTCTCCTCCTCCGCGCCTTCTAAGACCTCCTTAATCATCAACCCGCACGCCTCAACTAATGGACAGCTATCAGTCCACACTCCTAAACGGGAGAGGTAGGTGCTGGTGTGGGGTTTCCATCCGGGAGCATCTCCGAAGAGCATGCCGAAATGATGGCAGAATCATTGGGAATGGTGGCCAACTGCCTTGGCCTCAGTTTTGTCCTCCACATCTTGCTCTGTCTGGTTTTGGCGTGTTTGAATAGAGTCTCCACTGGGCAGAATATGCTCCTTTTGTTCAGATCTTTATGGCTTGTTAATTGGATCATTGTGGGCACAATTAGCTAATTAGAAGTACATTGGATAAGCGTATTGGGAGACGTGTGAAGAGTGTAAGCTGGGTATTTTGAGTTTTGCATCACGAGTGGTGTTGCTATTGATGTGCTTCAGGTTTGCAGGCTGGAGGTGAGGCATAAGATCTGGTCAGTACAGGCTGTTTCACCGCCTGTTTATCTGCCAAATTTCGGTGCTCCCTCTTGTCTGACATGTTCCGTTTCCCCCTTTTTTTCCCCCCCTGTATTTACCTGCTTTCACATGACAGGATATGCTTGAGTTCACCACGTTTCTCTAAAACAAAGTGGATTTTTTTTTTTTTTTTTAAGTGCTGATAAAATTAGCTAACTGGTGTTGTTTGGCTTTTAAAAGTGTGAGTTAATTTATACTTGCTAGGCTTGCATTGTTACAAGAAATGGCTTAAATCAGGGGTTGTCTGTTGACGTGCTTCTTGGCGCGGGCTCTGCTTTATTCCAAAGGATGCTTTATTGCAGGTTTGTTTCTTTACACCCCCAGATTTCACTGAGGCGTGTCTAACAACATAACTTTTGCTTATGGTGAGACAGACAGTCCCAGGAGCTTGGGCCGTGGGTACCAGCTCCTGCTGCAGCCTCGGCATTGCTGCTGGCTGTGGAGGAGGAGGAGAAGGGTCTCTGGGAGCGCACAAGCAGCATGGGCGCAGTGGGGAGGGCAGTGCTTCTTTGCATTCAGGAGAGTCCCTTTGCCCATCTAGAAATGTTATAGCAGACACTAGTGAAAGCTGGATTTTATGGAAACTGATGGCTTTGTCTTTCCGTCCTCCTTTCATTCATTAGAAAGAGGATAATGGAATTTTTAGGCCATAGAGTTTATATTGCTGGTGGTCTGAAAGTAGATTGATAGGGCAGCTATATAAATACCTCTTATATCTTTCTAATATTAAGAAAATAGTGCTGTTGGGAATAGATTTTAAAGGAGAGCACACCCACTGTTGAAAGAACTGCTCTGTGTGTAAGGCGTCATTTTATATCCATTGCAAGGACACGTGGAGGAACATCAGCGTATACGTTTATAATGCGTGCAAGTGTCAAGGACATGGTTTTCATGAAGACTTACATGGGATACTAAAAACAATTTGATGTTTATTAAACAATTAAATTCCCTTTTTGCTGCATACGGAGCTGAACAAGATGGGTTTATGACTTTTCAATAAATTTTTTATCTATGTTTTTCTTACCGAGTATATAAAATAAAAACCCATGCAGTGCAATGGATCTTCTTTCACTAAATAAAGGCATGTACTGTCTGCTAATGGCAGTCTAAGTGAGGAAACAGTATGCCATTGCTGTTTAGTTTGAAATGCAGTGGAAATACAAGAATCTGTTCTGAAGTAAGAGTTTTCTCTGTGTATACTATTCAGCAGGCTGTAAATCCATGTGTCTGAGTCCTGTAATTGTGGCCTGGAGGCAACTGGGATCTACAAATAAGGTGATACATAAGTTTTTATTAGTCAAGTTCCAAATAAATTAATAAGGAAAGCATAAACTTGCCATTTGTATTGTTTGAGATTTTCATTTAGTTTAGAAGACTTAAAATCCCCAGTGGTTGAATTGATAGCTGCATTGTTAAAGCTTGGCATTATACTTTTCTGAAATATCCACTGAGTTCTCTACTACAATATCAAAATACAAAAATAGGTGTATTTAGGAATACAAATAAGAGAGCTGCAGACTTTGCTTTATCTTGCCTCTGGTACATGGAGGGTTTATGCCATCCATTTGCTGCAGTGATTGAATTACATCTTTATCCATAAGTAGAGCAGGAGGCTACACGCAGAAGAATGCCTACTGATGCACTTAAGGGTTTTGTTGCAGTCTCATCAGGCACTGTGGTGCCTGCCTGGATTTCATATGACACAGAAACTCCTCTTGTTGAGATATGTTGCACTGGTTTTCTTCATGAAATGGTGTTTATTTACCAGCAGGGAGTTTGGGGTGGTGTGTGAGCAGTGAGGAAAGAGTAGCTGTGGTCCGCCAGCAGATGTATATTTGAAGGCTCACGGAAGGTGAAATTTTAGCATATTTACAAAAGAGAGAGCTCAGGCATGAGCAGGATTTGGTAATATTTTGATTGCAACGATTAAGACTAGAAAAAGTCACGGGTGTAGTGGGAGCATGAGTTTGTTAGACTTCTACTAAAATCCTTGAATGTTCTTGAATCCGGCTGGCTCAGCACAACAACTGAGCCTGCAAATATGAGGGGCATGTGGAGGCGGTCCCTAGCCCAAGCTCGAGTCAGTTGGGGGTGTCAGAAGGGCTCACAAGGGAGATACAAGCCCTTCCACCTCCCATCATACAAGCTCGCAGCTTGGGCTGGACAGGGCAGGTTTTTGGGTTGTGGCTTTCCACCTCTCATTCCTGCACCTTCTGTGCAACTGGCTGTGAGCTTTGCTCTTGATACAACCAAGAGCTATTTATTTATATTTAAACAACAATAAAAAGCACATAGTAAAAGCTGTAAGTGTCCTAACAGTTAAGCGCAGCCACATCATAACAACTGCCCAGCAGCAATAAATAATCATATACAGGTAACATTAACTTTTAGGGTGTGCTGTAAAGCTGTTTTCTCCCCCCTTCCTCTTGGGCTTCTGAGAAGGAGTGGGCTGCAGGAGGCAAGTTGGTTACGTGGGAGTTCCTATCATCACTGTCATTTCTGGCACATGTCACTGGGATAGTTCAGGCTGTGTTTTACAGGGTTCCTGATCCCACAGATTGGGTTGGGAGGCTGCTGCAGACCTGCAAGACGGGAGGCACTTGGCTGACCTGCGTAAAAGCGAGCAGGCGAGCAGCCGTTCTGCTATACATCTGGGGTAAAAACATGCTTTGGTTATAAACACAGGGCTTAAAATAGCAGGAGAAAGGTCCTTGGCTGCTCAGTATGCCCACATGGCGCCGCGCCGCCAGCCCAGCCTCACAGTGCGCGTGGTGCACTTCGGTCCCGTACAGGCTGTGGGAACACAGATTTGGTGTCACTGGTGACATTGGCCACTGTGGGGCTGCCGTGCTCAGGACCAAGTGACAGCCAAAGTTCTCCTTTATGGCAAAAAGCAAATGGCAGGAGGGTGGCCAGAGTCACCCTGGGGTGTTTGAAAAGCAAAAACACATTAGAAAGCAGGAGGCATCCTTAGGCAGGGGCCAGGGAGCATCATGGTGCTGCTCTTGGTTTCTCATGCTCTGTGTGTATGGCTTCCACAAGAATGAAACAATTCCAACTGGAAAGAATGGGTTAATGCTTTCCTTCGTTTGGGCTTTAAATGTATATTACATCTATGCTTTTGTCCCACATTTCGCCCAGTTTCTGTAAGTAGCGGCAGCAGCAGCTCTGGGGTTTGGTGCACAGCAATCTGTTAAGGAGATAAATAATCTGCTTTGGTATGACACTCCTACTCTCCTCTTTAATTTGTCTTACACAAGGAAAATTATAATTAAATCATTCAGGGTAAACCCTTGAGTGTAGAGAAGGAAAAAACACACTTTGGTAAAGATTGCCAATAGAGACCAACTTCCCTGTTGTGCCGTGCAGAGACATTTATCAATATTCAGCACTATTAAAGAGAGAACATTTCGTGTGATTTGTGAGGCGGATGCCAAAGCTCAAATCAAGGCTTGTTAAGATCCTTTCCCCATGCAATCATGGGCATTCAGCATCATTAGAATTCAGCACTGACTGTGTGTTTCATGCTTTGATTTTACTCAGACAATTTAATAATGTTTATTGTGCTGATTATATATATAAATTCACTCAATGCAATAAACATACCTCAGTCATCAGTACCCTAAGGGAAATACTTAGTTACAGATACTTGTATTCGCTCAGGATAAGCGAAAGTGAGACCATCAACCAGCATGCAAACCTCTCATCATCTTATCAGCATTTGGGTTTCTTCAGTAGGAAGCATTTTCTCTACACAAGTAAATAAATAAGTAACGGGAGCCAGTTGAGTACATCTGCTGTGCTTAGAAATGTCAAGGACAGAACCTGCTTTTCATCTTGTTCCACTGCATCTTATTTGGGGGAAGCTGGATCATTTTCTTAAGAAAAAGAGCAAAGCAAATGCCCGGTCACTTTAGGTGAACACTAACTTTATAACCTGATGTGCAGTGGGCATCTCAAAACCTGCATGCTTCGGAATGTTCCTGGTGTGGGTTGGTTTGGAAAAGCAGAAGGGCGTAGAATTCATTGGCCTTTTGCAGGGAGCAGGGGGATTGCTCCAGTTTGGAGTTGAACCAGGAGGTCTGGGTGTGCTTTGGAGTGGTGCAGGCACCTATGTGCTGCTCGCATCCCCTGGCACTGTTCTGTGACCATAGCAGCAGCAGGATGCTAGAGGCCATATGTAAGCCAGTGAGGTAATGAAGGTCCAGACCTGTTCATTTAGGAAACGCATCTGTTTGCAAGAGACAAAGGGTTGGAGGTAAAGGCTGCATGTCCAAGAGACCTTTCTCCGTCTGCTGGCAGTCTCATGTTTGTCCCTTGTCTTCATACCCTTTCCATCCATGCTTGAGTCTTGTCCTTCCACTTATGCAAGCACCCATCTCCATAGGACAAATAGAATAAACGAGGAGATTTTTAAATGACTTTTTCTCACCAGTGTCACAGGAGGAAGGAGTCTGGAGAAGGCTCTGAAAGGAAGTGAGAGGAATGGCGTGGCAGACCATTGATCTGTTGGTTAGGCTTAATGCATTGTGTTTTACTGTTGTTATCTTCCATGCCAGCTGATCCTCCATCAAAATCCCAAGGCCCTTAGA